ACTGTATAATTGATTTACTATTGCAAATTCCTATAGTTCTTCCTCACTTCACTCTTCTGAAACCTTCTCAATCAATTTTATTGCCATTTACAGCAACACAATTTCGTTTATTGATATATAATCTTCTTTTAAGCAAATTGCCAAACAGCACTCTATCTACCAATGATTTCTACCAGTTAATAATCTCTTCATATTCACTTATTCTTTTGCAAACTTATCTTTTTGAGTACATAAAATTTTGTCGTTTAACTACCAATAGTGATCCAATAAAGCGAGTAGATCAATTACAGCAGAAATGAAATACTGTTTACAGACAGGGTAAAAAATCATCAAAAGATGCCATTGATGCCATTGTACTAGCATTATATATTTACAATTCAAGACCAAGGGAATTGTTAAATATAGAAGTACTATCGATTAATGCTGTTGGTCAAAATTAAAAATACCGCTAATTGCAACAGTTTTTCACTTTTGGCAAAAAGGAACGGCAATTTTTATGTGATCTCTTCAATAATCCCATTTTGCACATGTGTTCTTTAAAAAGAAAAAAATGATATAACGAAAAGATTCAAAGAATCAAGAATTATATCCACTAATTTTATAATAGATGTTAGAAGTGAAAATGGCGTAATAATTTAGCCAAAAGCCAGTTCCATCATCATAAACCCCGATAAATGAAGAAGAGTTGCAGTGGTCAACAAAATCTTCACCAACGCCATCGATACAGTTTTTGGATTTGTTTTAATTGTAATAATTTCTCATCAGAACATATTTATTTTTACAATTAAAACTTTAAATAAACTAACAAAGCCTAAAAGTGAAACACCAAAAATTAAAAACACTTTTGTTACCTATTTTTTTCATCTTTTTTCTTCCTTTCTAAACAAATTGTTATCAGTTCTTTCAAATAACAATTTAATTTTTCTAAGAAAAAAATACATTGAAAATTTAAAGAAGGACAACAAAAGGTTGTACTCTTCTTGCTCTTTTTTTCGAGATAAAAAAATCTTTTAAGAAAAATTCTGCTTCTTTTTGTCAAAAATCTTAAAAGATCTCAACTATACAGTTAGTTAGCCAAAACATCATAACAGCAGCTATAAATTACAGAATTATTATCCAATACTTCACACTGCTCTTAGCCACTGAAAATTGTCATTAAAATTTAGTTCTTTTACGCACAGGTTGTAAAAATAAAAAAAACGGTTTTAATCAACAGGTCAAATTTTCCTTTCTGAACAAAAAATATTGGAAAAACTAACCGAAACAGAAAACTTACTCCTTTAGTACCAAAAGCAACACCGGTAAGAAATTCTTCATCCTGAATTGTAGCTTTCAACGAAAATAACACCTTTTGATGCAATTGATCATAACGCCAAGTTAACTGATAATCATTGCGAACATAATCACAGCTATTTTCCATATCGGCAGTAACCATTACAGTTAACATTACTGTTATCAGCAACAGTAGCCAACAGCAATAGTTTAACGTTATAAATTTAGGTTTCTTCATAACAGCAAAAAGAAAAAAAAAATGATGTATTTTTGCACACAAATAGTTACGTACGAATATTACGAATGCAAAATTGTTATTTCAGGTTTACTTTGAAAATACTGCGTCTTTAAAAATATTCATTCATGCTGAACTTGAAAAATTATATTATATTTTATGAGTTTATATGTAATAGCCAAAAAAAAAAGAGGTATGAAGTTGATCGGTCATAAAAACGGTTGAACAGAAGAAAACTGGTGAGAAAAAAAACGTTTTTAAAAACTGACCAAACAGCTTTTTAATCTTTTTTTTTCCTTTCATCACTTTTTTTTCTTTGCTTTCTTATTACCGTTGCTAATTCCTTCTTAGTATCCGACCAATTTTTTAGGAAAATTATTAAATAAAGCTGCACTTTTTTTTTTTTGTAAACAT